ATTCACCCAAATGTCTTTTAACCACTGCAACGTTGGGCTAGGGTTGGGGAAAAGGTCTCAGATGTTTGGACTAGATGGAAACTGGTTTCTTTTTGCCTGATCAGTAAGTGATGATAGCAAAAGGATGTTGTGTGACCTAAAGTAAAGGCTCCACCCCCAAATAATGCCCATCCTGGAAGTGAGCAGTAGACAACCAAGCCCAGTGACCCATGGCCTTTACATTTTGGAGGAAGGGGTGAGAATGGAAATGGAAGCACTTTCTTGGGATTCCAGTGCTGTCTCTGTAACTATCAAGCTTGAGGTACTTGCAAACTTGAATTCTTTTCCCTTTGAAACGCCATTAGATAGATCAAAGTAGCAAAGAATCCAATGCTTACTTTCATATTACAAGGAACAGACTACTTCCAAAAGATGAATACCTTTGCTTCTTGGTTACTCTGATTTCCAACTGTGACTTCACCAGCTTTGCTAAGCAGGAAAAGGTGCAATTCCCTCACATGCCCCTCTCCCACCACAGAAGCTTACTTTAATGGCCCTAATTCTTCACCCCTCTCAGTGTCCATTCCCTTTGCCACATGATGTTGCAGTCTCTCCCTGCAAAGATATATTTCCCTGCCCTTTGCCAATGGGTTTGGCCATGTGACTTGCTTTGACCAACAGGATGTTAACAGATTAATGACATAACTAGAAGCTGGAAATGAGCTTGCTCCTTGTGGCTTGTGTTCTTGTGTCTCTGCCATTCCCCAAGCTGATAGCTGGTCCCAGGGGGAGGATGAGAGACATGTGGGGTAAAGCCACTCCCAACCAAGATCAGCTGGTTCTCTCCACCTCAACTTGTAGATGTAGGAGTTGATAAGGCATATTGTTGTATTTCACTGAGATTTTGTCATTATTTTGTAATGCAGCATTACTATAGCAACAACTGATACACCCACTAAAATTCACCTATAGTTTAAGGGTTAAAAACTGTTCGCTTTGTTTTCTTAATGGATCTCTGATTTTTTCCCCCATAGGAATATCAGGTCCTGACGCAGGATCCTATTACATCCCCAATGCCCTAGATTTATTCATGGAGTCCATACCATTGTTCTAAATCCCAGGAGACACAATGGTAAACAATACACAATTCCAACCATGTATCTGCACCTGTGAATTTCTTCTCACCTAGGATCAGTGTGCTTTTGCCCAAAGGTGATTCCAATGTTTGCTTATGCAGCTAGAAGTACACCAAATCAGTAATGACCTCTGAACCACCTGAGTGTTATTTGCCTAAGTACAGATGCACTGGAGCCATTGCATCTTCCAGTAACGGAAGGGACCAACAAGACCATTGATTATTGGTTTTCAATCCTAGCCATTCACCAGAGCTTTCTAAATTTTACAGATCCCTAGTCTCCATTTATATTTAGTTGAACACTCTGGCATAGGCCTCAGACATCTGTGTTGTTTAAAAGGTCTCAATGCTGATGATCACAAGAATTGCTCCCCCTCCCCATTTAATAGAACCCCTCCATCCAATGACTGAATCTCTTAGCCGAGTTGCACTAAGCATTTGTGATGACAATAAACCCAAAAGTGAACACAGGGGGACCATCTCCAGATGACCACATGTATCCATTAGTTATTAGTAGCATAACAAACCATTCCAAAACTCAGTAGCTTAAAACAATAATAATTGATTATTGACTATGAGTCTGTGGATCTGGATTAGTTTGTCTGATCTCTGCTGGACCCACTTATGTCTGAGGTCAGCTGGCTGGTCTAGGATGTCTGGTGTAAAATTGCTGTCAGCTAGGGTGACAAGGGTTTCTGGGCCACAGGAAGTGAGTCCAGGAGTGTCCATATGAGACTGGGCTGGAGTCCAGGGGAACAAGCAGAATGTGCAAGGCCTCTTAAGACCCAGGCTGGGGACCAGTACACAAGCAGACCTTTACTTCCGCACATTCTATTGATCAAAGTAAGTATTGAGGCCAAACCCAGGTTCAGAGGCGGGAAATAAGACTCTACCACTTGATAAAAGTCATATCATAAGAAATAAGATTCAAGGAGGAGAATCCTTATGGTTATTTTTGTAATCAATTTATTATACAACCTAATGAGAGACAAAAATCAGCTGCAGTCAAATGTGATTTCTAAATGTAGGCCAAAGTTTTTACCCTAATCTCAAAAGCTATAAAATTCTCAGGTTGAAGTTTCATCTGATACTCCTCATTTCTACTCCTACCTGCACACATGCACATCTTACTTAATCCTCAAGACTTCTGTCTCAAACTAAAGCAAATCTGTTTACTGTCAGCACTATTTTACATTATTGGGGATAACGTGCCACCCTCATGACGATTTGTTCAGGGCAAGTCTGTAATGTCTCCTCCTGGCTTACAAAGTGCCTATAGCTGAAATGTGCTCAAATGATCATTAGGGCTACATCTTCCAAAGGACTCCATCGGTAAGGAGCACCAACATGTAGGAGGAAGTATTACAGGAAAAAGATAACACACAAGACCAGCCAAAAGCCCTGAGAAGCAGGAAACTGGAGCTCACTGAAGACTGTGGGCTGAGGCTAATTATATTTTAGCCACCTGCTGCTGGATAAGCCCTCTTCACTTCCCTACTTCACTCACCCTTGCCTTGACTGTGACCACTTAGGAAACGCATTAAAACCATGATGGCTGAATCTACAACTATTTTCCCATGACCCAGGCCCTAAGATGTACGCAGCATTAGCTCAACACCTACTTGTGAGGTCTGGGACAACAAGGGGTTGGTGGAGAAAAATTGTCCAGAAACCACAAGACACAGGATGACAGAGAACTGACCAGGGCTGGGTAGTGCCCAAAGGCTCTTCGGAGGGGAAAGGGAGTGTGGGAGGAGAAAGCATACGTTGTTCAAGGCAAGGTTGTCTAAGGTGCATAGTCTGGTTCTCTGATATGGCCAGTTTTCAGTCAGCTTGGTAAGACCACTGCCTAAAAGGCTAAGCAACCCGAGTGAATAAAAGATACAATGAAGTCAAAAGAAAGGCTAAATTCTCCACGAAGATGCCTCAGAAAAGCCGAATTCAAGAAGATACTGCATTCAATTTAGTTTGTGAAGAAACTGTAAGAAGTTCTGGAAACATGTAGAACAGGCCACCAACAAGAAACGCGGCCCGCACTCCTCTCAGCTGTGTTGTGCCCCCGAGCACTGGGTCTGGGAGAGAAGCGGGTTGGGTGGGGATGGCGAGGATTTTATACCACAGTGCAAATGCCTCCGAGGGCCAGCCAGATGGCTGTCAAAGCTGGGAACTCCATGGGTGGCGTGGAGCGGTATCCCTTTGTTTTTCAATCATAACTGAAAAGAGTCAGAAAGTTGAACCTCACATCTCCAGTGAAATCATCATTACGGCTCCCACCGCCCTCTCTTGCTCATTCGGCAACAAAATAAATGGCATGTCTGGATGGTCTTCAAAAGAGCTGGCTGATGGGTCTGCCGTCACCCTATGCTTTTGATTTATTAGCCAAGGGGAAATTTAAGCTTTAAGAAAGTCAACTACTGGCATTCTTACCACAGAATCACTGATAATGACGATGATGAAGAATCACTGATTTCAACAAAAGATTCACTACACTTCCTTGAAACTTAGGAGAGGGGTGTGCAATCTAAGAAGGAATGTGCGCCCTGCCCATGCCCTTCATACCCTTCACACCATTGTGTAGGGCTACTGGTTACTGCTGCTCTAAAAACCTAGATCTGTTAAGTGTAGGTTGCTCCTTATAGAGAATCCTTAAGTCGCCTGCACAGCGGTGCTAAAAATGAACCTGTGCTGCATTTGCAGAGATACTCGGGCACGGCCCAAACTTTCACATGTGTCATGGGAGCGCCTTTGGTCTGGGCAACTTCTATCGCGGCTTCCTATGGCATTCGCCTCTCAGACACCTTGCTCAGCATCTTCACACTCTAATTAGTTATCATATGTAATTCCTCATGGCTGTTAAAATAGGGCCCTCTTAAATATACTATTGTAGCGTAGTATCAAACTAATGTTACATGTAGCCTCATCTTCTCCACAACATTTTTCTTGAAATCTCACCAGGTATTAAAGTTTGGACTAGGCCAGGAACCAGAGGCAGCAGTTTTATTCCTTCACATGCCTGTGCAATCAACAGCTTGTGTTTAGAATAAATATTGAAATCAGAAGCCTGTTAACAATGCAGTGCTTGATGACTCTGAATTACTCTCTCACCCACAGCAATTGAGGGAGAAGTCCTTGGCACCAGCCCCATGCAACAAACCTGCTTTCCAGCCTCCTCCATGTGCCTTCTGACCCTCCTCTCCAAAAATTCTCAACACGCTATACAAAGATCTCCATTTTCTCCCTTAAATACCACACAAATCTCACATGGAACATCTGACTTCTTTCTTCCCAGAGCACCACAGATTTAATTCAATACTTCCATGTTCATGTATATTTAATTAGACCAACTTATCTTTAAAATTTTACTCAAACCCCTCCGCTGGCATCTTTTACTCAATACTGAAATCTTTTAAATAGGGTTTTCTGTTTGCTTGGTTTGTTTTGTTTTGAGACAAAACATCATCGTGGTCTATTTTAAAGCTATGGTAATATTTTAAGCCACTTTTTAATTGGTCAGAGATGCCCATAAAATGCCCATAATCCTTAGCATTTTTCCTTCTTCAAAATCTACTTGCTCAGTAATGTAGTTTTTCCTTTGGCTTTTTGGGTTTTTTTTTCCTATAAGGCCAAAAAGGTAAGTTGTACTACCCAGAGGTAATTGGTACATTAAGTTTTGTTTCAAGGCCAGGCTATCAGGTTACAAGTTCTAATAAATCCTCCTGGGAAAAGCCATTTCTTTGTCTTGAGATGACTGAGAATCGAACCAATCAACCAAACAAAACACCTTCAATTCTATCAGAAACTCTCCCATCTAAACACAATGGAAAAGAAAAGCCAATACCAAAGCAAATAAAATGAATGAAGTGGTCTCGCTGCTGGCAGCCCTTACCCTTGGGAGCAGAGGTCCCCTCCAGACCCTCGCGGGGACTCTGGCTCCTCCTGGAGTGAGGTGAGGGAGGCGAGGGGTCCAAGACGTGGGTGCGGGTAGAGGTATGCTCCGTGCATGCTTGAACAGGACTCACTGCCGTCTGCCTGCCTGTCTGCCACTCCGTCCTCTCGTCTGGGTGGGAAGGGCCAAGATGAAAAAAAAATGTGCAGGTTACTCACTGGCCTTCTTGGACAGGCAGGGCACACCCAGGAGGAGGGAGAGGCAAGGCGTAGACAGGGAGATCCTTCAGAGGCTGGGCTGGAGATCTTGCTTCTGATTCCTTTTGTTAATACTTCCTGAACTTTAACTCAGTCTGCACAGACACGGGTACTTTGGGGAGGCAAATAACACTCGGGTAATTAGATTTCAAGGGCTTAATTCAAAGGTTACTTTGAAAAGGCAACGCTTTAGTACACGTACTTTAAAATTTAACTCTGAAATTTGTTTCCACTGTGTTTGAGCATTAGCATGGGCATAGGAAATGAGAGGAAGGGGCTGCCTAGGTGCAGGGGCCTGGAGCAGGCGACGCTGGATGTGATTTAGACAATGAATTTCTCTATCTTTTGGGCTCTAAGTTTTAGAGAAACAGGATTCTTTGCCTTGTAGGAGAGGCACATTCTTGATACAGGTATCTGGAAATTAAGATTTTAGAAATGGATTCACATTGAAAATGCAAGAACTTGCTACCCGATAGCCTGGCTTTGATGAATCGTAAAATGAAGCCTTTCATAAATGGAGGGATCCTTCAGTAATTTGTTTTGGTACGTGTGAGTGTTCATAAACACCTACATGGCAGTATTACCATAGAAGAAAATGGAACAATGGGGCCCAGGGTGAGAAAGGAACTAACACCTATTAGTACCGACTCTGAACCAGTTACTTACCTCATCTAATCCTGGAAATGCCCTTATGAGGGAGGCATCATTATTGCTCTTTCACATGTGAGGACTCTGAGACTCAGAGGTTAGGTAACCTGGCTAGGCCTCGGCCAGCTAGAGAATGAAGGACCCAGGAACTGAACCCTAGTTTGCCTGAAGGTATGACCTAACATCGTCGTACCATACACCAGGCAGGTCTTCCACCATTCCTGAAGAAATAGTTACATTTCGCCTAAGGCTAGGTTACCTTTCCTTAACTCGGTGTACTGTATTTCCAAAACAGATATGCAGGATAATAACAGCTGTAATAGAGGTAAGAAAAAATGTACTGTACAGATTTCTTTGCTGGAGAATCTCACGACCTTTAATACGCTAACATACATTGTGACTCTCCAAGCTTGGGACTTACAGAGTGCTGTGTTTCCTTCCCCAAAGCTTTTTTGCTTGGAAGGAGGGGACCTTTGGGTTTGGGAAACACTGTTCTAAAGATAGGTAGGTTACTGTACTTTTCTCTGCCTCTGTTGTGGTCTGAATGTTTGTGTCCTCCCAAAATTCACCTGTTGGAACCCTAGTGCCCACAGTGATGGTAACAGGAGGCGGGGACTTTGGGAGGTGACTAGGTCATGAGGGTAGAGCCCTCATGAACAGGATTAGTGCTCTTATAAAGGAGAGCCCACAGAGCCCACAGAGCTGCCTTGCCTTTCCACCTTGTGAGGATACATGAAGTCTTCCATCGGCAAGAGGACCCTTACCTGACCGTGCCAGCACCCTGATCTCAGACTTTCAGCCTCCAGAACTATGAGAAACAAATGTCTGTTGTTTATACGCCACCCAGTCTGTGGCATTTTGCCACAGTGGTCTGAAAGAACTAAGACATCTTTCTTGTCTGTTCTTTTTTTTTTTTTTAATTGTTTTTGAACTTATCAAAAATTCATGACAAAAAAGTTCAAATAGTCTATAAGGGTATAAAATAAAAAGTAAAAATCTACATCTTCTCTCTAACAACCGGTCCCACTCCCCAGAGGTAACCACTGTTAAAATTTCTTATGTATCTGCTTCAGAAATTCTATATGCATATAAAGCACATATGAACACTCTTTTAAAAACAAAAGCAGGATTAAAGTATAACCATGATGTCTCATTTGGCAATTTTTAAAAAAACGCAATGATGTATTTGAGATCTGCCGTATCAGCATATGGCATTATTACTGGCAGGTCAGAGTCAAGAAAAGTACAAGGTAGGTCTATAATGGGACTACTGCTTTGTAAAAGGGTCCCTTGTGCTTCATGACTCAACGTCAGAAGGCCTGGCTTCCCTTTCCAGCTCCACGTAAACTCCATACTTGATACTCATGTACTGGATGGGGAGGACCCTTGGACCTAAATCACATCATAGGTCGTCGTGAGAATCAGTAACAACGGTGATGACAGTGACGCCTCAGCCACCACTTACTGAGCACTTACTCTGTGCCACTTTTCTTAACATTTTATATGTATTAATTCTATGAAGACTTACCCTCAGCAACCCTTGAAGCAGGTGATATCAGCTCCATTTTACAGATTGAGAGAGCCATCTCAGAGTGTGCACCCGGCACACGAGGGCACGATAAATGCTTAGTTGCATCAGTGAAGCAAACATGATCCCTGTCACAATTTACTCCTCAAAGGGGCACTGTAAAGTGGGTCCCATGTTCCCTTAGGAATACTGTTATAATTGAGGGTTCTGTTCTAAAATCTCACTTTGGTGTCTTACAAATTCCAGATATAATAAGATCTTGTAAAAACAGAGATACAATGCATTTCATAAACACTGAAAATAGCAAAATGATGTTCCATGGCTCAAAGATTTTGAGAGATGGTTCCTACAACCCCTCCTTTTTACTGATCGATGGAATCACACCCAGAAAATATGTGGGCCTTCTCTAAGGATACCTTATGACATTGTCTCATGAAACAATTTTTAAATGTGCATAAATTTGAACCCCCCATGACTGCACAAGGGCCTCCAACATATTCTGTGGGTACATACAGAACATACGGCATCACAAGTCTGCCACAACATTAATATGCAAGTTAGAACAAGCATTGAACAATTAATTAGAAATAGCTCTCCCTGCCTCCTTAAAATTTAAAAAATCATTTGAGGAATGATTCGACTGACTCATTTCCCTTAGAAAAACTGTCTAGGGATAATGTGCATCTACATCTTCTTATTCTCTCGATCTATTTTCCTGTAAAAACCAGAGGCCTTCATAATCAGTGCACTGGTTTCTTTCCCCTCTAACGTCGCTGCAGAAGCATCTCCATAGTTTGAGACATCATTCAGAGCCTTAGCTTTGGTTTGGGGTGCCCATGCTTTGATCTGATCCTCCTACCAATCTCCCTTCTCTCTCTCTCTCTCTCTCTTTTTTGGCTTCCCACTCTTCTCCTCAAGCAAGGAAAGCCTTGAAGGTGAGGTAAGTCACAGAGGGGCAGGAAGAGAGAAGGGAGGAAGGAGAGAGACATGCATTCTTTTAAGACAGTTACAATTGAGTGGATGCTATGCATTTTACTCTAAGGGTTAAAAAAAGGACAGAGAACTTAACCCCTTCCCTCTTCCAGCTTTGACTCCCACCTCAATACTGGATGTAACATTCAGCACAGTGACTAGAAGATGGTAGACGTTTATTCATTTGGGGCTGGGGTGGTATTTGTCCCTCATCCTGCCCTCTATTTAGCATAATCTTCATGTCCAATTCATTATCATTCTCAGTTACATTCAACAGCAACCATCCAGAAAGAAAGAAGTCCACACCTGGCATAGATAGTGCAGCCCTGCTCTGACACATACACATGTTTAAAAGACCTAAATCTTGCTTTGGCCACTCTGCCGTCAGGAGTAGGGCAGGAACAGCAGTGTTCGGTGGCATCCAAGACAGGGCTTGGGTTCCAGTCAAGTCACAGGTGGAAGTTCCAGCTCCCTAGTCCCTCGTGTGAGAATGATAGCATCTACCTCACAAGGCTGTGACTGAAGATTAACTGAAAGAAGTATGTAAAATATTTTGTAAATGGCAGAGTACTGCACAGATACAAGGTAGTGATCCATCACGGCTTCCAGCTCTCTAAATATGTCCGCAGTGAAGCATGATAATTGCTTTAACAAAGGAACCAAGTTGTTTCTGTTGTTCAGGATCCCCCAGCCCATGGCCTAATCAGCTACAAAGTAGGTCGACTGGAACATTAACTAGCTGGGAAGCACAATTCTAGTAGAAAACGGACTAGCTTATTTTCATATGGACACAGACCTTTTCCTCCATCCCTCTTTTGCTTTATCAGACCTTCTGAACTACTTCCTTTTCACATATTGATGAAACTAATTTTAAACCTTTTGTTATAGAAAATTTTAAATGTAGATAAAAGGGAGAGAAAGGTGTAACAAAATTCCACATATGCATCGCCAGCTTGATCAATGATCAATTAGTTCAACCAAATCTTGTTTCACCTCTATCCCTACCCACTCTGGATTATCCTGAAGCAAATTCTTAGTATCACATCATTCTATCCATAATCATTTCTGCATGTACCTCTAAAGGATAAGGATTCTACTTGAAAACAAAACCAAAATGTTATTACATCCAAAAATAAAGTATGATTACTTAAATAGTATCCAATATTCAGTCAGTATTCAAATATCTTTGAATGACTCAAAGATTTTTTTGTACTTTATTCAAATCAATCTTGCAATTGATTGAAAAATGTTGTCTTTTTTAATCTAAAGTTCCTTTCTCCAGCTTCATTTTTTCCTTGAAATTAGTTAATAACCTGATTCTTTTGTCATATAGATTTTCCTACAATCCACATTTTGATGATGCTGTGATTTACTATGTTCCTCTTCCCCTTGTATTTCCTGTACATTCATAGTTAGATCTAGAGGCTTGATCAAATTCAGATTTGATCTTTGGTTTGAACAGTTAGTTGATAGATGGTCTTCTATACTTCCATCAAGAGGCAACTCATATTTGATTACCTCTAGTTTTGTACACATAGCAGCCACTGAAAATCAGTATTGTCAGTGGTGCTTCGGTATTACTTCAGAGAGATTGGAAAATAGTGACTTTCTCCCATTACTTCCTTATTTATTACTGGGGATGCTATAATTATTAAAGGTTTACATTTGCCTGAAATGAAAGCTCATATTATCCGGTGTGTTTTTGGCCATGAGGTGTTTTGTTACACAATAGATATATTTGTTCCTATCTATATATTTCGTTAAAA